TGTGTGTGTGTGTAGTGTATGTGTGTGTGTGTGTGTGTATGTATGTGTGTGTGTGTGTGTGTGTGTGTGTGTGTGTGTGTGTGTGTGTGTATTTATGTATGTATGTATGTGTGTGTGTGTTTCTGTGCTTTTACTGGGCCATAGTTGCCACGTGACGCTTCTTGTAGTGTTCACGTGTGCCTACCAGTGGTCTACGTAGTGAGGCTTTAACTGTTCAGTGTAGAGAGGGAGTCTCTTTCTAATGATATACTGCTGTGCTCATGGGCAACGGCTTCTGCTATTGCGCAGGGTTTAGGGTTATCCTAAAACCCTAAACCCTGCCCTGCTGCGCTGTGTATCACGACACAACTCTGCCTCACTGTACTACGATTGTCCTCTGTTGCGCTTCTACTGGATTGTGCTAAAACCCTAAACCATAAACCTTAAATAACCCTAAACCCTAAACCCTAAAACCCTAAACCACTGGTTTGCCATGTGTCTCTGTGTCTCTGCAGTGGTGCGATAGGATCTTGTGGCGGGTACGTCCTGGGTGTCAGGTGCGCTGTGAGGAGTACAGCAGTGTGCCGTCCATCAGCACATCAGACCACACACCGGTGAGTTCTCGAAAACCCTAAACCCTAAACCAATGTGCACTGCTCGCTGCGACGACTGCGTGTGACAAATTGAATACGTTGCTACGCACTATAAAACGTTAATTACATTTACGCACTGTGATATGTTCAATACATTTTTTTGTACTGTGATACGTTAATTACCTTTGTTTGTACTGTGGTATGTTAAATACATTTATTTGTATTGTGATACGTTAATTACATTTGTTTGTACTGTAACACGTTATTTCTTTTTGCTTGTACCGAGGGCTGTGACCTTTTTAGCTCGTCTGTCTATTAGCTGCTGCAGGGGTTTGGTAGATTTGTGGCCCTGTGTTGTGTTACATGTCGTTTGAGTTGTCGTGTGAGATTTAGGGTTTTTGTGTTCATGGTCTGTTTTCATTGATTGGTGTGTGTTAATGATCTGTTTTCATTGGTTGGTGTGTGTTAATGGTTTGTCTCTATTGGTTTGTGTGTGTTAATGGTCTGTTTTCGTTGGTGGTTGTGTGTTAATGGTCTGTCTCTATTGGTTGTTGTGTGTTTATGGTCTTTTTTCATTAGTGGTAGTGTGTTAATGGTCTTTTTCATTGGTAGTTGTGTTTCGATAGTCTGTCTCTATTGGTTGGTGTGTGTTGATGGCCTGTTTTCGTTGGTTTGTGCGTGTTACTGGTTTGTTTCTGTTCATTGTTGTGTTAATGGTCTGTTTTCATTGGCTGCTGCAGGTGTTTGGTAGGTATGTGGCCCTAGGATCTTCGCACGTGCCTAGAGCTACGGGACTGACACCGCTGCGACTGCACATCTCAAGTAAGTGAACGGCATTGATCTAACGCGTTCTGCTGCAGTGCGGTACTTTGCATCTGTGGTGACAGACGATGTGCCTCTCACTTGAAAACATAAAAGGACAACAGTGGGTCTGAAAAACGATAACGAGATGAGGATCACAAACGAACACATAAACAAGCAGACAAATAATCAGACACACAGACACACAGACACACGTGTCAGTTGTTTGTTCTTGTGGTCATGTTACTTGTTTGTTACTGTGTTTATCTCGTTAGTGGTTTGTTCTTATGTCCATGGCTGTTCACTCTGTTGTTATTGTCCATGCCTATTCACTCTATTGTCTGTTCTGTGACCTCTGTAGATCTGTCGGTCGAGTTTACGCACAGTCTGCCAGATGAAGAGGCTGATGATAAGACGACTGAAGACGGCGATATGATATGGTCTGACATCGACCTCAAGGGAGGTGCTGCCAGGCAAGGGTGGGTGGTGTTGCTAGGCAACGATCGCATCAAAGATCTGATAGTGCTGGCCAAAGACCTGAGTAAACCGCAACACGTAAGCGATGGTGTGGGCGATGAGTCATTGTGGGGCGGCCACCCCGTCCCGCGTAAACCCTAAAATCATAGAAACTTAAAAACCCTAAACCCTAAGTCCCGTCTACTGATCGCATGCACTGCAGTGGCTGTTGGATGTCATTCGCATACGTTACTGTCTGCTGTGCACTGGGCTTGAGCCTATGCGTATGGGTGTGGTAATTGCTTCATGTAGGACCAAGTGTGACTGTTTTTAGGGTTTTAGGTTTTTAGGTTTTCAGGGGGTGTAGTGTTTTGGCTACATTTTTTTAGCAGCGCACGAGTGATTTGTATTTGAAAGGTCACCTAAGGCACTAAACCCTAAACCCTACACTTCAGGCACAGGGATTGAACAGTCTCACGTGTTGTTAGCCACCAAGGTCCTGCATAGTCAGTTTGTGGCTGACTACTTTATCGTTTCTGTTACGATCGCCAATGCACTCTCCTCCCACACTCTGTGCATAACCATCTCATGTGCCTTACACACTCTGTGCGTGACCATCCTATGTGCCCTGCACTCTCCTCCGTGGATGTGTGGCTGTCTGTCTCACCCGTGTCGGCCCTGTCCTGTTTCTCACCCGTGTTGACCCTGTCCTGTTTCAGGGTGAGGTGGACCTGTGGTACGCCAATGAGAAGGAGCTGCGCACGGCCACTGTGGAGTTGGTAGTGATGTCAGTGCACAAAGGGAAAGAGGGCAAAGACAACAAGGCCAAGCGCAAGTACAGGTACAAACCTAAACCCTAGAAACCTACACCACAATTCATTGTGTTTGTGTGCGCGCGTGTGTGTGTATGTGAGTGGGTGCGGGTGTGTGTGTGTCTATGAAGTTGGTATTAATGTCAGTGCACAAAGGGAAAGAGGGCAAGGACAACAAGACCAAGCGCAAGTACAGGTAAAACCCTAAACCTTAAAAATCACACCGCATTCCATTATGTTTGTGTGTGTGTGTGCGTGTGAGTGAGTGAGTGTGAGTGAGTGTGAGTGAGTGTGGGTGAGTGAGTGAGTGGGTAAGGGGGTGTGTGTGTGTGTCTAAAGAGTTAGTAGTGATGTCAGTGCGCAAAGGGAAAGAGGGTAAGGACAACAAGGCAAAGCGCAAGTTCAGGTCAGCCACGCACCACCACACCGCAATCGATTGTGTGTGTGTGAGAGAGAGAGAGAGAGAGTGTGTGGGTGTTGGCGTGTTGTTGTGTTCTCCCGTGTCTTAGACTGTCATGCTATGAGTCCCATTACCCTCGCCGCAGATGATTGGTTTAGTTTCTCTTAGTGCACTCATTTGTTTCGATTGACCTATCGGTTATTCACTTGTTTCTATGACTCATCTGTTGCTATGACCCATCTGTTGCTATGACTCATCTGTTGCTATAACTCATCTGTTGCTATGACTCATCTCTTGTCATCTGTGTTTGGCTGTTGATAGTTTGGGTGAGTGCAGCATTCCCTTGCAAGATGTGGGAATGAAAGAGATGCGCTATGACCTGTGGCGCAGTGGAGTGGTTGTAGGTTTTCTGCGCGCCGTCTTCTCAGTGGTCACTGTAAGTGGATTGCTTGTCCTTTTTGTGTTGTAGGGTTTAGGGTTGAGAGGGTTTAGTGCAGTTGCACACAATATCTTCGGCACGTTACTACATCCGTCGTGAATAGGTGCCTTTGATTAATTCGGGATTTACGGTTGTAGGGGATTAGGGGTTGGTTGGCTGGTAGGTCTCTTTTAGGGTTCAGAGTTTTGTAAAAAGTGTGCCTGTGTGTGTGTGTGTGTGTGTGTGTGTGTGTGTGTCATTTGCCTCCCTCGCTCACTTGTTCACTCACTTGTTCCTTGTAGTTGTACTCTGAAACCAAGCGAAGACCCAGTCGTGTGAAGGACGAGACACATGACGCCTACATCTCCCCGTAAGCCATCCATTCCATCACACCCGCACATGGCTCAGTGCATGTGTCAGTGCGTGTGCTCAGGGTGTTAGGGTTTTAGTTTTATTCTAGTGCATGTGTTTGGGTTTTGTTGTCGTTAGTGCATGTCTTAGGGGTTTAGGGTTTTAGTTTTATTTTAGTGTATGTGTTTGGTTGGTGTTGTAGTTAGTGCATATGTTCAGCTGTTGTTATAGCTTTGTGAAGGATCGTGCTGGGTTTAGTCTGTGGATGTGCGGTGATAATGGTCCAAGATAGTCCAATGTGAGTGGTAGTGTCTAAAACCCGAAAACCCAAAAACCCTAGGATATTCCAATGTGAGTGGTAGTACAGCATTCAGCCGTGTACTATGCGGATGGTCAGGGTATATTAACTTAAACAAGAACGGACAGAAGAACTTTATAAATTGAACCAAGATGCAATTGATAAACTCAGCTGTTGGCAGACACATCTACACGAGTGCACGTGTAGGGACACACCAGTTGACATCAATTGACACCTACATCAGTGTTAGGGGTTTAGGTTTTGTTTTAGGCTTGAGTGGTACTTTGCATGTGTACTTATACAACTGACACCTTTTCAGTTGACACCTTTTTGAAATGAAACCCTCCAATTGACACCATGGCTCTATTTATTGCAGTGCGGTTGAAACCAGGACTCTCTCTGGACTGTTGGAGGTGGCACGCGTCGACTCCGGTGGCTACTTCAGTGATTCGGGTGTGTATGTATGTAGGTATGTATTTATACATGTATGTAGTACTTCAGTGATTTGAGTGTGTATGTATGTATGTATGTATGTATTTATGCATGTATGCATGTATGTAGTACTCCAGTGCTTCGGGTGTGTATGTATGTATGTATGTATTTAGAATATATTTTCAGCATTTAAATGCGAATTGTCGTAGTGTCATGCCGTAAAAGTGTTGCGGTGGTAATTTGTGTACATCTACTGCAGTGTGTCTGATCGCATGATGTCTTCTAAACCACTCTGAAGTTCTCATCCTTTGCTCTGATTGGCTGTCCATGTTTCACCTAACTTTCGCATAGGTGGAATTGGCACTGAGCGGCCCAGTATGACCAATCGCTCTAAGAGTTCACTGTCCCAACCTGATTTGGCTTTGGAATCTACGCCCCCAGACAGCGGACGGGTAGGTCATTGCGTTTATGAAACCCCGGATCGTCTGTCCTTTAAATATAGTGTACAGATGGTGATTTCCAGACATGGTGACGTGACGTTATATATATAATAATATATATATATATATGTCGCAATATATATAATATATATATATATATATATATATATATATATATATATTGCGCATACATACGTATACATATATACATACATACATACATTCACACATACATCATTTATACATACATACGCCCAGGTGTCGCCGCGAAGCAAGAAGAAGTCAATCCTACATAAACTTAAGCCAACTACGCCGTCTGGCTCCAGCAAGCGCAAATCTCTTAATGTCAAACGTTCCAGTGCCACAGCGCCTGTCCGACCTTTCTCTGTGCACTCGGACTTTCGGTTCACTCCGGATGAGCGAGAGAGTGCAATGGACTTCACGCGCAGTCTGGCGCAGGTGGGACGAGTGTGCACCTGTGGTAACATGAGCGATTGCCTCAAGTGCAAAGGTACTCTCCCCCAACCCCTAACCTCTAACACCCCAAATCCTTAAAGCTTTAAAACCTTAGAATCCTAAAATCCTTACACCCAAAATCTTTAAAACATTAATACCTTACAATCCTAAAACCCTATCACCCTAAAGACCTAAACCCGTAAAGACCTAATACCCTAAAGCCGTTCTGCGCTCACATCTGCTTTTTACCTTTAGTCCTGAAATCCTGGCCACAAACGGCGGAATTCCTTTCAGTGGTTGTGAGTGTGTTGGTATTGCGATTGTTGGTGACTGGCTCTGAAAGTACCGCATGTGCGTGTTGTCTTGTTTGAATCCGTTAACTTTGCGCTACGAAAACTGCTGTGGAGTTTGAGCACATCGATTGTAACTGTCAATTAGCCTTTGAGGTTCTGTGGTTTATGAGCTCGTGGCACTTCATAGTATCGATCCGACACACTACACCAGTGTCAGTGTATAAACGTTCTCGTACCAGTGTCGTATATAAATGTTTTTGTCCCAGTTTCAGTATATAAACATTATTGTACCAGTATCAGTGCATATGAATTTTGTACCAGCGTCAGGATATAAACGCATTGTTCATATACATGCACTTTTAATCCATTTAATATTAGGGGTTGTCGTCTTTGTCCTTTTGGTTCTTAACGCCACCTCCACTGATAGCTACAGAGCATATACGTTGTATTTATTGCCAATCCGTTTAAAACTCGATATTAGCACTCGCACCAATCGCTGACAAACGTACGGGCTGACACTGTACTTTTCAAACGGATTGCTTTGAACAGCAACGGGTTCGAAGGCCCTCCGGGATAGCTTGAAGTCGTGCAAGGACAAAATACTTAGTAATTTCAAGGTGGAGCTCGATGGCACCTCCAGGAGGTGCGTGTGGTCGACCTGTGCAACTGATATGATTTATATCTTAATGGTGGTATATACATGTATACAAAATGGGTTATATCGTAATGGTGGTATTTATCTGTTTTCAAGGTGGTTTATATCTTCATGGTGGTATTTATCTGTATTCAGGATGGGGTTCTATCGCAATGGTGACATTTGTCTGTATTCAAGATGGTTTATATCTTAATGGTGGTATTTATATGTTTCCAAGATTCTTTTATCTTAATGGTGGTATTTAAATGTATCCAAGATTCTTTTATCTTAATGGTGATATTTATATGTATTCAGAAGTGACTTGGTTGTAGCTTTACTGGTGATGTGTTGGTCCGTGCTATTACTGTCGATTGGCTTTGTTAGTAGTGATTGCTAATGGGCCTGTCTCTGTTGATTTTAGTACTTTTCCACCTGATCTTTATTATGATATCTCTACTTTTACCTTTTATTATTGCTGCGGCTGTCTGTACTTCTTTTTGGTTTTATCGTGTGTGTGTTGTTTTAGATTACAGTGTGTGCATTAGTTGCCACGTACTGTCTGATGGCCTGTCATGCGTTTGCGTATCGCAGAGTAACTGTCAAATAGTGATGCTTAGGGCGATTGTGCAGACTTGAGTGACTGAATGCCCTGCATACCATGCATGTGCATACAGCGACAGGTGGGATGTCATGCATGTTCATACAGCGACAAGTGGGATGTTGAGCACTGAAGTGTAACTTATAATCCTTTTGATTGTGTGAGATGCACATGACATTGACTTGACATTCTGGTTGTTGTCTATTTTAGGCGCATCGCAGTTGACAACAAAGATAAGCTCATGCGAGAAATCCTACGGGAAGAGGCGATCATATACAACAGCACACACAGCCAACACACCGGCACACAACACTCGAGCACAAGCAGTCTAACAGCTGACAGCAACGGGCGAGAGGTTTCAAAGGCACCAGTGCACGCCCTCAGTCCTATCACGTCACCTGAGGTGCAAGGAAAAGGGACGCCTGGGGACACCGACAGGGGGCGGCAGTACGTGCGAATGCTGAGCACAGAAGTCCCTGCCAAAAGAGGCAAAGACCATAAAGGGAAAAAGAAGAGGAACCGCGACAGGAGTGCCAGCGACGGCAGCCACAAGAAGTTTGATCCGGTAGGCCGTGCAGAAAGGAGCTTACTGTGTGTATTAATACCTACCATATTCATACCTACCATATTCATACCCACCATATTCATACCTACCATACTAAAACCTTCCATATTTTTACCTAACATCTTAATACCTTCCAAATTAATACCTACCATCTTATTACCTACCATCTTATTACCTACCATCTTAATACCTGCCATATTCATACCTGCCCTATTAATACCTACCATCTTAATATCTACCATCTTAATACCTACCATCTCGTGCGGAGTGAAATTACTATACAGAGGAACATGCGTTGCATGGTCATGGTCTTATTTCATTAAGGGCCCTGCACTGTGCCATGAGGGGCAACAGTAGCAAGGCATAGCAAAAAGATGGGTCTAGTTTACCGATTGTATTGAACGTGAGTGCACATGATGGAACCTAAACCTTAAACCCTAAAACGGGTGCACTGGGGTTGTTGTCCTGTCCCTCTGTGACCCCATTGGCTGTTGACACTGTCTCCTCTGCACCCACACCACAGGCAATGCTTGTGCTGCCATTGACTTCGCTCAGTCGCCCGAAGTCACCGAAAGGAAAACGGTCACCACTGATCTCATCTCAGTCAATGCAAAATACAACAACCCACACAATACACACTACACCCAACTACACGGCACACCAGCACACACACGCAGACACGTACGACCACACCTCTAGGCAGGCACAGTTGGCGGCCTCAACAAGCGACGACCTAAGGGTGGTTATGCCTACCTACGAGCCATTCTACTCGCAGCCCTCACCACCCGTCTCATCTCGGAAGTCACGAACGCGTCTGAAGAAGATTGGCAGCGATGGACACAGCGACAGCGAAGTCATCGACAGCAAGTAATAACATGTACACATGAAATGAAACATGTGCAAGTAATGTGGTGTGCACGTGAAATGAAACTTGTGACACGCACTCAATGACAGCCATTACCATGTGGGGGTGCTAGAGAGAAGCGGAGTACTGTAGCTCATGCCCCGCGCAGTCTGATATATATATGAGCTATTCACTGTAGCACATGCTCCGCACAGTCTGATATATATATGAGCTATTGGTTGGTTTTCATTGTTATTGCGTTTTGTTACGTCGTTTGTGCTCCGCGTAGTCTGATATCCCTAAAACCCTAAACCACTTATGGATGCCTGTCATGCCTACAGCCTCCTTAAACCATCTAACGGCCCCATCTTCACACCACCTCATTAACTTCAGTGTCTCCCATTGTCTCCTTAATACTTTAAACCCTAAAACCCTAAACCCTAAAACTTTACTATCGTACAGAGTCACAGCCAGCACCCGCTCCAGCCTACTAGACCGCATGAAGCCAACACGCAAGCGCAGTATAAGCAAGCAAGAGACACAGCGAGACAAAGAAGAGTCAGCCTCACTGCTGGTCAACTGCGACAGCCCAGTGGGCCTTCGCAACGTGTTGTGTGAACCGTTCATGTTGGGAATGGACTCAGCCAACAGTGCCCCAGCCAGTGTAGGCAGCAGCGCTGTAGGCAGTCCCAATGCACTGACGCCCACGGGATCAGGCGGATCACAGAGCAACGGAGACCACGGTGGCAGTAGCAGGCGCAGTGGCGGCAAAGATAAACACAAGAGTGGACACCGCACAAGCGTCACCAACAAGGTCAACCGCATATTTGGGCGCAAGTCAAGCGATCTACAGGTGACGGACATCCCACCGCAAGACACGGTACGGTAGTGAGAATATATGTATATATATAA